TTGGTGTTTTGAAGCTTTACCCATACAGATTCCATTTCACTGGAGCCAATATCCTTCCTCACGATTGCATTAATGTTCTCTTTTAGCAGAAATGCTATTCCACTACCTTGTCCTTTTCGCCTGGCCTTCCTAAAAACTGAATACCCCTGGATATTTACTTCCCATTACCAGTCATCCTAAAGCCGCATTTCCGTAATCCCAACTCTAAGCTTGTCTTCTTAATACTCTTAGTCCCGTGCACATTACTTTGCGCTGTTGCCCTGTTTGAATATTGCCCTTAAATTTTCTACCGACCACTTTTCTTATTCCATCTTTTGTTTATGCTTTTGTTTCCCTTTCTTCTGTCTCCCTGTGTGATTTCCCATGGCATTGCCATTTTAGTTTAAACCCTTCCCAACCTTAATAAATACATCCCACACACCCACAAGATAGTTCAGTCCCACCCAGGTGCAACCTGTCCAGCTTGTACTGGTCCCAGCTTCCTCAGAACCATTACCAATGTCTCTGGAATCTGAAACCCTCCCCTTTGTATGATCTCTCCAGCCTGCTATTCCTACCCTAACTATTACATGCCACTGGTAGTGATCCTGAGATCAATACCTTTGAGGTCCTACATTTTAAACTTGCTTCCTAACTCCCTTTGTTATGCTCATAGGCCATTATCCCTTTTTTTAAAATCTGTGTCATTAGCACCAATGTGTACCACGGCCACTGGCTGTTCACATTCCAATTCCAGAACGTCCTGTAGATGCTCCCAGACATCTTTGACCCTAGCTCCGGAGGCAACAATCCATCCCCAGAATGTGCTCCAATTATGTGCATAATGGAAGCCCTCCCTCCTACACCATCCTTGTAGCCACGTGTTTAGCTGCATTCTCTCCCTATTTCTTACCTCGTTATCACATGGCACTGGTGAGAGTGCAGCTAAACACGTGGCTACAGGGATGGTGTAGGAGGGAGGGCTTCCATTATGTGGATAATTGGAGCACATACTGGGGAAGGTCGGAACTGTACAGGAAGGACAGGTTGCACCTGAACCGGAAGAGCACAAATATCCAGGGAGGGAGGTTTGCTCGAGCTATACGGAATGGTTTAAACTAGATTGGCAGGAGGTGGGGAACTGAATTTGTAATTCAGAGGATGAGGTATTCAGCCTTCCAACAGACACAACAGGGAGTGAGGTTGTTAATAAAGAAATGCGGTCGATGGAGCGTAATTGTGGACAGAGGGATGGTTTGAAGTGTGTATACTTCAATGCTACAAGTATCGGAAATAAGGCGGATGAACTTCGAGCATGGGTCAGTACTTGGAACTACAATGTTGTGGCCAATACAGAAATTTGGGTATCTCAGGGACAGGAATGGTTGTTGGAAGTTCCGGGATTTAGATGCTTTAAAGGAAATAGCAAGGGTGGTAAATGAGGCGGGGGAGTGGCATTGCTAGTCAGGGCTAGTATAGCAGCTACTGAAAGGCAGTTCGAGAATGATATATCTACAGAGTCAGTTCGGGTTGAGGTCAGGAACAAGAAAGGAGCAGTCACTTTGTTGGGGTTTTTTTTTTTAAACAGACCCCCTAATAGTTGCAGAGAAGTGGAGGAGCGGATTGGGAGGCAGATACTGGAAAGGTGCAGAAGTCACAGGGTTGTAGTCATTGGTGACTTCAACTTTCCAAATATTGATTGGAAACTTTTTAGTTGTAGTAGTTTAGATGGAGCGGATTTTGTCCAGTGCGTTCAGGAAGGATTCCTGACACAGTATGTAGATAGACCAACACGAGGAGAGGCCACTTTGGATTTAGTGCTTGGCAATGAACCAGGCCAAGTGTTAGACCTGTTGGTAGGAGAGCATTTTGGCGGTAGCAATCATAATTCTATTACTTTTACAATAGTCATGGAAAAGGATAGATACATACAGCTGGGTAAGGTTTATAATTGGGGGAAGGATAATTATAATTCTGTTAGGCAAGAACTGGGTAACATAAAATGGGAACAGATGCTGTCAGGGAAGAGCACTATAGAAATGTGGAGATAGTTTAAGGTATGCATACCGTTTGTGCTCGATATGTTTGTCCCCAGCAGGCAGGGAAGATGCGGTCGAGCGAGGGAGCCTTGGTGCTCAAGAGAGGTCGAACGACTGGTTAAGAGGAAGAAGGATGCTTATATAAGGTTTAGGAAACAAGGATCGGAAAAGGCTCTAGAGGGATACAAGTTAGCCAGGAAAGGAGCTGAAGGAAGGGCTTAGGAGATCTAGAAGGGGGCATGAGAAAACCTTGGCAGATAGGATCAAGGAAAACCCCAAGGCTTTTTACACGTACGTGAGGAAATAGAGAATGACCAGGGAAAGGGTAGGGCCGATCAAGGATTGTAAAGGGAATTTTGTACGGAGCCTAAAGAGGTAGGAGAAGTCCTTAATGAATACTTTTTTTTCGGTATTCACAACTGAGAGGGACCTAGTTGTAGGGGAGGACAGTGAGAAACAGGCTGGTAGGCTACAGGAGGTCGATGTTAGTAAGGAAGATGTACGAGGAATTTTGAGGAACTTGAAGATAGATAAGTCCCCCAGGCCTGATGGGATTTATCCAAGGATTCTATGGGAAGCAAGGGAAGAGATCGCAGGGCCTTTGGCGATGATCTTTTCGTCCTCACTGTCCACGGGTATAGTGCCGGAAGATTGGAGAGTGGCAAACATCATTTCCTTGTTCAAAAAAGGGAATAGGGATAACCCTGGAAATTACAGGCCAGTTAATCTTACATCAGTGGTGGGCAAATTATTGGAAAGGGCTCGGACAGTCAGGATTTATGATCACTTGGAAAGGCACAATTTGATACGTGATAGTCAGCATGGATCTGTGAGGGGTAGATCATGCCTCACAAACCTCATTGGGGGAGTATACATTCTGGCCTCAGCAGGGTCAAAATCCTGGAAGTCCCTTACAGCATTTGGGGTCTACCTACAGCATATGGACTGCAGCGGTTTAAGCTCATCATCACCATCTCAAAAACAATTAGGGATAGGTAATAAACACTTTCCCAGCCAGTGATGCCCACATCCCATGAATGAATAAAAAAATTGCAGACACTTCCTGTCTTGGCTTCTGCCATTTTTGTTTGGGAGTCACCACAATTTTGGTTATCACCCTTCTTTATCTCCTGTCTATAACCCATTCCTCTTCCAATTCTGTTGTGTTTAAATCTTTTGCAATCACATTTTTAAATCTGGTCTTTAGCATTTCTCTTCCCCTTTGTCCGGACAGTCATATCATTCACCTCACTTTATTTCCTCTATCGTCAACATTTAACCATGCCATTTCAATCGCTTCTTAGCTACTTTTCTTTGGTGCTTTCAAAACCTTCCTCACCCATAATGTACTGGTTCCTGATGTTGCCCTTTCACGCCACTCTACATATCCATTTCAGAATTGTATATTATTAGTTACAGAGATAGTAGGAACTGCTGAAATTTTCTGAAGAAGGGTCTAGATCCGAAACGTCAGCTTTCCTGCTCCTCTGACGCTGCTTGGCCTGCTGTGTTCATCCAGCTCTACACCTTGTTATCTCACGTATAATATTAGTATCCAGTTGCTGTTCTGCAAGTTTCTGCACTCAAAACTTGTAGATGCTTCTTTTCAATTTGAGCAATACTTTTCTTACTGCCAACCATTGCTTAATTTCCATTTCCACACATCCATCTTCCGCTACTACTGACCTCAGGTGCTTCAAATTAATCACTTTCTCCAAATCTTCACCCATAATCTTTACACTTTCACTCTGATCATCTTTTCTCGGTTCAAACTGGCAGTTTGACTGGTCTGCTAATCCTTATAACTGCCTTCTGAATTTTTCCTCCCATTTTTAGATACTCAGTCATGTTCTTATCATCTAACCACATTGTTGAATGTAATCCACAGACATCACACATTCACTCAGAGAGAACATCCATGATAATCAGGATGAGGAGGGGACACAGTGCCAATCCTTGGCATAATCCAACTTTGGCTTTGAAACTCTCACATTGTTTCTTACTCTTTTTGGTACACAAGTAGATTTTTTTTTGTTTTTATGAACGATCATCCCAAGCAACAACTACAATTCCTTGGCATATACATAGCAGAGAGAAATAAGAACATCTGGTGATAACCATAACATTGACAGCAGCAAAATGAGGAGGAGACAACGCAGAAACTACACCAACAATTTAAGCAGAACAAGTTCAAAATTTGAATAAGAAAGATCTTGGCAGTTATCAAAGACTGTGAATGTTGGAGAGTTTTGATTGCCAATGTTGCAAAACATGGCAACTGCAGAAGATAGACAGGTTAATAAAAGATATAGGAAATAAACGTAAAATAAAGCATGCTGATAAAATAACTGAAGTGAAAGAGAATAAAATCAAAGACAGGTGGAAAAAATACTTTATTCTTTTATTGAATGAAGAAACCATGAAAATAGAAATAGAAGAGGCCACTGCAAGTCAAGGAATGTCAACTAGCATCCATTTGGAAGAAAGTACAAGACAAGGACATGAACATAGACAGTGATCCGAGGGAGAACACTGTGGCAGAGGAAGGAGATAGATAGGAGGGAGAGAGAGGGGCAGGCAGCGGGGGGGGGGGGGAGGAGGGGGGGAGAGGGTAGGTCGGGGATGAGGAAGATCGGGAGAGCGCCGTGGAGGGGAAGAGTGTAGATCTCG